CCACTTCTTCCGAGTATATAAATAATAAAAATTAAACTAACACACGTTTAAATAATACTGTTTAAATTTGTGTTGATTTAATGTCGGTTATTTATTTACTCTGAAGAAGCGGCTTACACGAAGTCACGAAACTGCAGGAATACAATTTTTCTACTCATTCGGGTATAACAAAATATATTTATTATTATCTGACTTGTTATGATTTTACATTATTATGACCCTTGATATAGTCTGTAATATGTATAGTCTCTACCATAAATTACCTCTTTAATCTCTAATTATATCATAATGTTATTCACTATTCATATTCTTATGCATATTTACCCCCATAGAGAGCATAAATGTCACATAATTAGTGACTAATAATCTTTACATTCATGTTTTATTCTAGTATTGTAAAATCGTTCAAATCCATTTGTGCATTCTGTAGTATTAATAATAATAATCTCTCAATTCAATACTATTTCAATTACAGTGAATAATTTTATACATAGATATACAATATTTCAATAGTCCCATATTAGATATCTTGTTAACTTGTAAATATTTTAAAGGTATTTTAACTAAATACACTCCTTAACAATGAATAGCTTTCATTTGACATCTGCAATTATTTGACTAATTTTATTCCTATGACATCTTGTTCATTCAACAATATAAATACCTCTCTCATGTTCAAATACGATGCAAACTGAAATGTTTGTAAACCATCCTGATACTAAAGGGTGAACTTAATAGTCATCATATTCACTATAAGTTGTTAACTTTTCATAAAATTCGTCGAGTACATTTAGTGCTTAACACACAGTTCATCACTTAAAACAAACAATCAATATAGGTACCTTTCTTGTAACATAAGTATATACAAACTTAGAGAATGTTTGGCTTAAGGTTGCGTTCAGGTTACCAACATTAGCAAATATATCAGTTTAGTGTTGATAATTTATGAGAAAATTATCATATGTTTAAATCATTCTTGATTAAAATAAAATGATTCATTATTTATTTAATGCGAATAAAACTAGATTGATCTTTCGTGTTTTGTAGGAAATCTTGTTATTATGAAAAGATGTTGGCAGAACACAAATAATTATGAAGTAGTTCTTTAACATCTGAAACTACTCGAGTTGGTTGTCATCAAAATGTAACATGTTCGCAGATATAAGTTACTAAAATGCAATGAACATCCATAAATATTTCTTGATCAAAAAACATATTAAATTATTATTTCAAGCAAAAGTGGATAGTGGATAGCTGTGGAATCCAGGATGCGCGTTTTTTCTTATTTGGGACTCGTCAGCTGGATAAACCTGCATCTCAGAGTTGATGTTCACTCCGGAACTCGAACCTAGTACCATTCGCTTCAAACGTCACCGCGTTATCCACTTAGCTACTGAGTCCTTAAATCATTCTTAAATAATTTTTTTGATATAAACAGTAAAAGTTATATATTTGATATATGTAATCCTTAGTTTTATATGTAAAATATGGGATACGTGCATGAGCTCTTCAGCTGAATGTACATGGACTAAAAATAATGAGAAAACATTTCTGAATAAATTATTTGTCACTTATCATTACGACTTAATAATAACTTATATATATTAAAAACCGAAGAGGACTTTGTCGATATTCTTTTCTCATCGAAAAGTGTATTTACTTTTCAAATCAACCATTAACAATCAATTTACAAACTATGTCTAAAAGCATAGTTTACAATTAAACAAAAGGAATTTAACCACTTTTGATTAAACATGAAAAATTGTTTGTATTAGGGTAGCAGCTTCGATGTCTTCAACGTATAGGCGCTCATGAAGTAGATCAACCAATCGGATACAGATAATCCAACTGTTTGATCTGAGTTTGTACTGAATCGTTGAAAAAATTAGAATTGAATGCATAAATTGTTTCTTATCGTCGTTTTATTTCACATACATCAATCAATTTTTAATCTATAATAAACTATTATAACAGATAACAAAGTCAATCAGTTCACCATGTTCAAATGTATTTGCCTTAATTCTTTTCTTAAAAGTGATTAATTCTAAATTCGTTCTGTTTCTCATTATTCAATTTAAATAAACACATTTGGATGTTTTATTTCAGACAAGTAATTCATTTGATTAGTTATTCACAGTGAGTGATCAGTGATTAATGAGAAATATATAATGTTTGTCTAGTCCTTGGTTTGGATCAAATTCTATCGGTCAGGTAGTAGTGTGATATGGAACTTGATTGATTTGAAATCGTTTGTACTATATTTTGATGTCAGGTGATTGTATATAGTGAGCACAAAACTTGGGAGTAAGTTTCATTCTAGTTAGCACTCGTTTAAAAAATGGACCTGACATACTGGGGAAGCTAATGCTCTCAATGCAATTCGACAACACCTCGTATCGTTATACAGTCTGAAAAGCTATGGTTTGGATATTCGGGTAGCAAATAAAACGAATACGATATTGGTTACTAATTAGTAACTGTAAATATCTCAAACCTACAGGAGATCAGTCGTAGACCAAATGGCTCAGTGGTAACATCATGAACTGTGAAGCTAAGTGACTCGGGATTAATATAATAACTACACCATACTAACGATTGCCAACTAACGAGGAATCAGAGCTCATGATTTTCCTTCAACTATATAGCATCAGTTTGTTTGGTTTCATGGTTTACATACAGATTTAATCAAGACATAAATAGTATCATCAATAAGTTGACTTAGCCCAATAAAGCTTATTTCAGTATCGATATTCAGTCAGTTGTTTTTGTAATTGTAAATGACAGTGTTCTCTATCTCTAAAATCAATAGAACTCTCACTTGTCACTAAGAATACTATTAATCTGAAGTCCTATGCAAGAGGCCCTTCACGATTCCAAAGAAACTCAACAGATTATTGAAGATCAATAATCACAACTTTGTAGTGAAACGACCATCCGGAAGAATGCATGACAAAAACAAAAAAGGTATGCACTTTCTAATAACTAAGTTATTATGGTCATGTAAACTTGATGATTCGAATCTCAAATTCGGTACAATCGGAATGTCAGAAGTGACTTAAGAACCTAAGAAAAAACCAAATAAGAAATTTTTTCTTTCAATAGATAATTCACAATTATAACATTTTGAACTAAAAGCAGAAAAAGTGGTTTCCAATAGTTTATCTTTGATTCACGAATTTCAAATTATGTTTAAAAAATGCACAAGCATATAATTTCATATATGTATATATATATGCATGTTTCAAACTGTTTATAACAGTTTGCAAATTTTAGCGAGATTTAAAGCAGCTGATAAAGAAGCACAGTAGGGCCATTAAAAGTAAATAATTTGTGAAGAAAATTACTCTCAGTCACCCTATTTGTATTTCCTGATGCCATTCAGTTCATATCTAACTTTCCTTACTGAGCAGTAACCTTTGTAATTTACACGACATTATGACAACTGTGTCAAAATATCTCTTCAATGCTGTATTGCACTTTTATGATTTTTCTCTTTTGGTAACTATGTTCTAACCTACAGAATATTTCTTACACCTTTCTTTTACCACTTTTTTCCTTAATGAACACACACTTTATAAGGATTCAAAACGTAATCCACGTGAAAAATATGTATGACATTAACGAAACTGATTAAATAAAACAATTTTTGACGTATGAACTATTCTGGCTAACATGATATAATATCTGTGACTTCAAAACCAAAATCTTGAAGATGAAGATATTATATATATATATATATATATATATATATATATATATATATATATATATTCAAGATCCCTTGTTTTTTTAACATTACTTGCTTATTTACGCCTATTACCTGTCGTGAAGGAGCATAGGACGTCCATCAACATTCTCCATCCGACTCGGTCCTGGGCAGTCCTTCCCATTTGTTTCCAGTTGCCATTCATTCTTTTCATATCTGCCTACAATCCTCTGTGTAGTGTGTTATTTAGCCTTCATCATTTCCTTCTTCTTTCAGGATTACAAGTTAGTGCACGGTTCGTGATGAAATATAATGATTTCCTCAATGTGTGTCCTTTCCACTTCCATCGTCTTTTCTTGGTTTCCTCTTTAGATAGAAAATGATTTGTTCTTTACCATAGTTGACTGCTGCTGATAGTATCGGGTCAACGGATGTGCACTATCTTGTCTAGACAACTGTTTATAAATACTAGTACATTTTAATGATGCTTGTATTTTAGTTCTCCACGTTTCAGCTCTGTACATTAGAACTGTCTTGACGTTCGTATTGAAGATTCTGATTTTTATATTGGCTGACAGATTTTTTGAGTTCGGTATGCTCTTCAATTGTAGGAATGTTGCTCTTGCTTTTCCAATTTCTACATTAATGTCTCCATCTGACACTCCTTGTACGTGAAACTTCCCACCTCTTTCAAGGTTTCTGCATCAAGTGTGATTGCGTTATTTTCTGAGTTGTATTTGTGTGTTTTGTTTTTTCTCTTGTGTATGTTGAGGTCTGCTGATGTATAGGCTGGTGATACAGTGGTTGTCTTGACTTGCATTTACTCGTGTATATAATATAGAAGGGCTAGATCATCTGCAAAGTCCAAATCGTCTGGTTGCATCTTAGCTTTTCATTTTATTCCCTTCTTACTGCCAGATGTCGAGGTCCCTATAACCCAGACAGCCAGATGATGTTGACGATTTTCTCAGGTACACCTGAGTATCGCAATAGGCTCTTCAAGGTTCTTCGATCCACAATGTCAGATGCTTTCTCATAGTCAATGAAGTTAGAGTATAGTGAAGAGTTTCATTCAACTGATTGCTCAACGATGATCTGTACTGTCTCGATTTGGACTGTGCACGGCTAATGCTTTTGAACATATTTACTTGATTTACTTGATTAATTAACAATACTTTAATATTCCAATTTTTTCATTGGTAGAAAATTCTAAATATGGTTATCGACGAATCAGATTAACTCATTTTTATCTAACTGTCAACAATTGAACATGATTATTCAATTAATAGTGAAACAAAGGAAAAATAATGATAATTTCCGTTATAAATAGGTGTTTCAGTCGTTAGTGAATTACAAATAATAAGTTACATAGACCCTATATAGTTAAAACAGATAAATTTACTACCCAGTTAGCAACTTCATATCATAATAAAAACACTATTGAAATCCGAAAAAATTATCCATCCATAAAAAATTATTAGTACACGAAATTCATCATTATTAAACAATTGTAGTTAGCTCCATTTTTTTTAGGAAATTTTGTGAAATAACTATGTTTTTCAGTATAGCTATTTTAAAGATTATTTTAATGACAATATATTTCAATTATCTGTTCGCATACAGAACAACAACAGGCGACGAAGAAATGAAGCATTATTCTCAAGATGCACGTGAGTTTTACTTTTATGAAACTAATAATTTAACAACATGAAGGTCTTCAGCTTTATCTTTTTTTTACATATTACCATGTTATTAGTAGCTATCAGAACTCATTAGCTAAGTGGATAACGAAATGGCATTTGAAGCGAACGTTACTGAGTTCGAGTTCCCTAGTGAAAGTTAACTGTCGGGTACAGGCACATCCATCTGACGAGTCCCAAATAGGACAAAACGCGCGTCTTGGATTTCACTGTTGGACGCTATCTATCTTCGCTTATAATGAATGTGATTTAAGGCAATATCAAGATGATTCATACATGATGCACATATATGATTTCTTTAACAAAACTTTTTTGATTTAACCCGAATAAAAAAACTAGAATTTTCATTACAATAGTCATAAATTATGGTAACCATCTTTTAGTTTGCACCATTAACATAAATTTTATGCGGTTAGTTTTAGTTCACTTTTAAGAAATATATAGTGTGCTTAAAGAAAAGTTAAAGTTAATTTCCGTTTCATTATTGATGATAACAGCTATAGAAATATTGAAAAATTGAGAGTACTGGACAACTGTCCAATCGTAAAATAAAACTTCTATGTCCATTTATGTCATTATGATATTGGCAGAGACAAAAGACAAAACATTCGGATTGCACAGAAAACATTAGTTTTATACGATATTTTTAATGAGAAAGTGCTAACAGTTATCTTTTATTAACACTGAATAACAAAACACTACTGTTACGTAATTCTGATTCACTGATGTGGATCTGATAGGTTTATCGTGCAACCTGAGACACAAATGAAGATAAAAAAATATCACTTCAATGTTTCATTTCATTTTCAGAAGATCTTCAGTTGATATTTATCTTTAGAAAAAAAGAATTTAAACAAAGAATGGTTTCCATAAGCTCTTCCACCAAATAATAGTTCGTTCATCTTATTCTTATTACATATATTTATCATACTTTTGGGAAAGTTATTTTCTTCTTCATGAACCTTTCTGTCCACCAAAAAAGGAAACAATTGGTATTACGAAGTTTTAAGGTAATCACAATGAAATACTAATAAAATAACCTTCAATAACTGACTTTCCTGGAGTGCTTCTTCACATTAGAAGACCTTGCAAAATGTTATATTCAATTAAAACATACTTCGTAATCAAACCATATCAAACAGTCATCATCAAATAATTTGTAAATAAAGAGATAAGTGATCTCACTTTTTATTTTAAAAAATAATGAAAATATTAAGAATAAGTGTTTAATATGACTTACTGAAGATGAAGGATTGATTGCATCATGCTCCTTCAGCTCTTCCATTATGGTTCCTAAAATACTGTGATTCCTATGGCGTATGATGTCATATTATTCAGTGCTTCCAACAGTTAGTTAATGAAATACCATTTTGAAATTATTAATAATAATATCTGATGTCTAGCACTTTACGTTGAAAAATATAACACTCCATTGACTCTCTATATTCTAAATCCATACAAATGAGTATCGGTAACGTCTAACTTTTTTTTAAAATGCACTGAAACCTTACTTTGTTTAAATAAGCTTTGAATTAAAAATACAGAATAATACCCAAGTTATCTTGAGAAAGCTCTATGATGTACCTAACAATAATTCTGAACAGAAAAATGTAAAGAGTACGGAATTTTAACAGTGTTTTCATACTGTTTGTTTTTATTCAGGCAGGAATATTTTTTCCTAAAATTAAGCAGATTGTCTTTCCAAATAAACTTTTTTATTCATGTATCATGGAATACATTGATTGAATTAATATGTTTTCTGAAAACTGTATTTAAATTGCTACAATCAGACCTTAACTATTTATCATTCAGTGATTATTTAGTAGTAAAGCGTGTACATACCATTACTTACTTACTTACTTACGCCTGTTACTCCTAACGGAGAATAGACCTCAATGTGTGTCCTATCCACTTCCAGCGCTTCTTCCTGATTTCTTCCTCCATTGGGATCTGGTTTGTTCTCTCCCACAGTACTTTGTTGCTAATAGAGTCCGGCCAATGGATCTGAAGTATTTTGCGTAGACAATTGTTAATAAACACCTGTATTTTCTGGATGATGGCTTTCGTAGTTCTCCAGGTTTCCGCCGCATACAGTAAAACTGTCTTGACATTTGTATTGAAAATCCTGACCTTGATGTTGGTTGACAGTTGATTTGAGTTCTGGATGTTCCTCAGTTGTAAATATACTGCTCTTGCTTTGCCGATCCGCGCCTTCACATCTGCATCAGATCCACCCTGTTCATCAATGATGCTGCCCAAATATGTAAAGGTTTTTACATCTTCCAAATATTCTCCGTCAATTTTGACTGGATTGGTGCATGCTGTGTTGTATCGCAGAATCCTGCTTTTCTCTTTGTGTATGTTGAGAACTACTGCTGCCTTTCTTCGGTATTTTGATCAGAAGTCCTTCTTTCCAGTCTTTTGGTACTTGTTCCTCATCCCAAACCTTATTGAAGAGAATGTGGAGTATCCGCTACGTCTGCTTTCAGTGTCCCTGCTGGAATGTTGTCTGGTCCTGCTGCTTTGCCACTCTTGATTTGCCTGATGGCCATGCTGATTTCTTCAATTGTTGGTGGGCCAACCTCGATTGGGAGGTCCGTGGGTGCTGCTTCGATGTTAAGTGGGTTCAGTGGAGCTGGTCGATTCAAGAGTTCTTTGAAGTGTTCTACCCACATGTTTCGTTGTTCTTCAATATTGGTGATTACCTCGCCTTCCTTGCTTGTCACTGGTCGTTCTGGTTTGCGGCGATTTCCAGAGAGTTTCTTTGTTATGTCATACAAATGTCTCATGTTTCCTTCTCTTGCAGCCTTTTCCGCCGTCGTTGCTAAATCTTACACATATTTACGTTTGTCGGTTCTGATGCTCCTATTCACTTGTTTGTTTACTTCTGTGTATTCAGCTTGTGCCTTGGCTTTTTCTGCTCTTGTTCGACTGGTATTGATTGCTGCTTTCTTGTTCCTCCTTTCTTGAATCTTATCCAGTGTATCAACAGTGATCCATTCCTTGTGATGGTGCTTCTTGTGGCCCAGAACCTCATGGCATGTTCAAGTGATTGCCTCTTTGATCCCCTTCCAGTTGCTCTCCACAGTAGTTCCTTCTCCATTGAGTAGATCATGAATGGCCTGGAACTTGTTGCTGAGGGCTATCTTGAACTTGTTGAGTTTGTTAGTATCCTGAAGAAAGGCCGTATTGAACTTTTGTGATATTGTCCGTCCCGTTGTCCAGTGTTTCTTGAGTTCCAACTTCATCTTGGCGACCAGCAAGTGATGATCTGAGGCTATGTCAGCTCCTCTCTTGGTTCTCACGTCCTCTATAGTCCTCCTGAACGTTTTTTTGATGCAAATATGGTCGATTTGGTTTTGCGTGGTGTGATCCGGTGAAGTCCATGTGGTTTGGTGTATGCGTTTATGTGGGAATATGGTGCCGCCTATAACCAGTTTATTGAAGGCACATAGATTTGCAAATCTCTCACCATTTTCGTTCCTTTCTCCCAGTCCGTGTCGTCCCATGATGTCTTCATATCCAGTGTTGTCCGTTCCAACCTTGGCATTGAAATCTCCCATTAGAATGGTCAGGTCCTTTGTTGGGCACTTCTCGATGATTGACTGTAGTCTATTGTAGAATTGATTTTAGCGTCTTCATTGTAGTCGTTGGTAGGCGTATAGCATTGGATGATGTTCATTGAAATTCCCTCTTTCTTTGTTTTGAAGGAGGCTTTGATGATCCTTGGTCCATGAGATTACCATCCTACAAGCGCATTTTGTGCTTGTTTGGACATCATCAATGCAACTCCTTGTGTATGTGGCGCATTTTCTTCTTCATGGCCGGAGTATAACATGAGCTCTCCTGAAGTTAGTCGTTGTTGTCCAACTTGTGTCCAATGTGTTTCACTGATCCCAAGTACCTCTAGGTTGTATTTTCTCATTTCTGCAGCAATTTGGAAGGCTCTCCCGGTGTCCCACATTGTACGAACATTCCATGTACCTAAATAAATGGTCGCTCTGGTTGTCAGAAGGGGCATCGGCCTCGTAACTTCCGAAGGAATTCGGGTTTCATCATGAGGCGTCATAATTCTTCTAAATGAAGACCTTCTGGCTCCCAGGGCAGAGTTTAAAAGGTTTGAATAATTTTTTTATGGTTAGCATTTTTTAGCGAGTTAGTTTTCTACGGGATGGGGACCCTAACCCCGTGCCCAACCCTCCTCCTTCATCCGGGCTTGGGACCGGCAGTAGCCCCCGGAGGGACTCCAGGCGGAGTTTGTACATACCATACTTTCATTATATTAGTCAGTTTAATTCTGAAGCTAGTTGACAAACAATCAACTTTTTAAAAGGTTTTCGCAGTTCCGTTGTTTGACATGGTGCATTTTTAGGTTCCTGGCAAAACTAAATACTAGTCATTTTCTAAACCTCTGATTATTATTTTAAATTTTGGTTTCGATAAATAAATCTTGTTTACCCGATGGTAATTATTCAACCAAAATCTAAGACTATGTTCTAATGAAACTTCAGGTGATATACCTATTTCAGCAGTGTCAATTTATGGTAATGTTTCCAATTTAAACTACCTACATTTTAAAAGTGATTAGTAGTAAAAGAAAAATTATTCCTTCAAACAAGTTATACTTTATTCATTCAGATTTGTTTCCCATTTTAATCACTCGATTAATATCATGATATGGTAAATTTTATCAAACCTATCACTTTACATCATTGCTATTCTATAAATTATTTGATCCATATCAAATAAATATCATTTCTGTATACTATTGGTTAAATGACAAATTATGTAATTAATGTAATGCGTGTTTACCCAATGAAATTTACATAAATAGAAAATAACACGTTTTTTTATGACCTTATAGTTGATTTATGAATAAACTAAAGTGAATAAGGTGGTCAAAATAAAAATTAGTTCATATAATTAACTGATGAATATTAACTGATTTATTATCGAAAGAAAGAACCGTT